GGTGGTTGCCTTTTCTCAGGTTACACGGAGTTCGTCTGATTATATATCTGGACGATATCCTCATACTCTCGAGTACACGCTCACTATTACTAACACACCTATCATGGACCCTTCACCTCCTCCAAAACCTCGGTTTCCTGGTGAATTGGGAGAAGTCGGTGCTACAACCCTCTCAGCAGATGGAATTCCTAGGATTCCGAGTCGATTCTGTTCAACAAATCCTATGCCTCCCAACAGAAAAGATTTCCATCATCAAAAAGGAAATAAGGCGGTTATTGAATCGGCCGGACATTTCACTGAGACAACTAGCACGGATGATCGGCTTACTAGCTGCCTCCATCCAAGCGATTTTCCCGGGACCATTGCACTACCGGGCGCTTCAACGTCTGAAAGCAACCTGCTTGAGGAACAGTCAGTCATACGAGTCCACCGTCTCCTTAGACGTAGAGTCCAGGGAAGAACTGAAATGGTGGTTGACTCACATGGAAGCGTGGAACGGACGAGCAATCTTCGGTTCCACCCCGGACCTAGTGATAGAGTCGGACGCAAGCTTACATGGCTGGGGCGCGCGTTGCGGCTCTATATCCACAGGAGGCAGATGGTCGGTAGACGAATCATTTCTGCACATAAATTCGCTGGAACTGCTGGCAGCCTCCTTTGCCATCCGCAGCCTCTCACCCAAGGGAATTTCATGCTCGATCCTTCTCAAGTTGGACAACGTCTCGGCAGTCAGATACATAAACCATCTGGGAGGTACCAAGTCACGCATCTTAGCTATTTTGGCTCGAGACTTCTGGCAATTTTGCTTGCAGAACAAGGTGTCCGTAACCGCGGAACACATACCGGGACTGGACAATTACACCGCGGACTGGAACTCCCGATATCTGCGAGACATGGGGGATTGGAGGCTTCAACCGATGATATTCTACAAGATCAATCAGTTATGGGGTCCTTTGAATGTGGATCCTTTTGCTTCAAGACTGAACACCCAACTTCCTCAGTTTTACAGTTGGCGACCCGATCCAGAAGCCATGGCTACGGATGCCTTTCTCCAGGACTGGACCAAGGGACGAGCATATGCCTTCCCTCCATTCAACCTGATTGCCCGAACTCTGGCGTACGTCCGACGCTGCAGGAGCACTTTGGTTCTGATAACACCATGCTGGAGATCTCAACCTTGGTTTCCCCACCTGCTGGAAATGGCGATCGATTGCCCACGGCTGTTACCGGACCAACCCTCACTGCTGACCAATCCGGAAGGGGAGAACCACAACATGGTGGAACAAGGACTCCTTCGACTGATGGCGTGGCTCCTTTCCGGGGACCTTGGGAAATCTCGGAAGTTTCGAGAACGACTACCCAACTCCTGGCAAATGCTTGGGCACCAGGAACTCGACGGGCATATACTGCGGCATGGAAGACATGGGCCAATTGGTGCCTGGAAAGATCGGTGGATCCCGTATCAACCTCTGTGAAAACGGTTCTGGATTTCCTGACACACTTGTTCGAATCGGGAAAAGCCTTTCGTACCGTCAACATGTTTCGATCTGCCATCTCGGCTGGTCATGATCTCGTGGACGGCCTACCAATCGGGCAGAATCCATTGGTCTGTCGCCTGCTCAAAGGTATACGCTTCTCACGTCCGCCTAAACCTAGATATGGATCCTTTTGGGACGTCAACATAGTTTTCAAGCTCCTAGCAGAATGGCCCTCCAACGCAGAATTGTCATTAAAACAATTGTCGGCTAAATTACTCATGCTATTCTGTTTACTATCCTGTAAGCGGGTATCTGACGTAAGGGCCTTGGACTGGCAAGCCCGTGTGTTCACTCCGGAGGGAGTGTCTTTCGATATCTCACGGAGAACGAAATCATCGACTAAACAGGTTTTTTATCCGAGGATCCCGGATCAGCCGAGTCTATGCCCGATACTGTGCTTGAAGGAATACGAATCTCGCACTTCCACTCTACGTTCAGCTAATGACGGCCCTTTGTTCATTTCTCTGAAGAAACCACATCTCCCTGTAACTACACCTACTCTCGCCCGTTGGATCAAGTGGCTGTTAACATCAGCCGGGATAGATGTCACGGTCTTCACACCACACTCTGTCAGGGGCGCTATGGCCTCCAAAGCATCGGTAGTAGGATGTCGATTGGAAGACATCTTAAAAGCCGCAGATTGGTCTACAGAGTCCACATTCCGAAATTTTTATTTTAAACCCATTCAACATTTCTCAGATAGGATTATAGCTCAGCTTTAAAAGAGCATAATAGGAGCCTCCGTGTCTTTAATAAAATTCCAAGATTTTACTATTAACATGACATAAAGTCATGATTTTATTAAAGACACGGAGGCGAGTATTATTCCCTCCCGCCCTCCCTGGGTGGATCTATTGGGATTCATAGTTCAGACAGTTATAAGACTAAGTGGTTCCGACTTGTTAAATTTCTCATATTAGATTCCTGAGTCAATCAGGTAAGTTGGTTTACCATGTTGGATGTAGTTTGAACTTTGCTTATCTTGTATGATGACGTCTTGACTGTTGAGGATATATATATTCAGACTCAAATAATTGCCTACATTGAAGTATATGTTACAATCAGGTGACAACCACGATATTACCATATTTCTCCTCTCTTTTTAGCCTGAATACTCCTATTGAAGTGTTGAAGTCTTGGAAGACAATTCCACAGTTTGCCCATAAAGTATGGATGTATGGATGCTATCCAAGGTTTTTGTTTCCAGTTACGGTTCAAGTTCATCGTTTTGATTATTGACTGGTCTTCGGATCGCTACGGAAAGAGGAAGAGGAAGGGAGTGCTACACCTTATATACTAAGGGGGTGGATACCTTTGGTGGCACTATGAATATGATAATATTATGTTAATTTTTCTCACTTCTTTACATATATCTCTCTTCGCTGCTGAGGGAAATTAAAGAAAGAGAAGCATAATACTCGCCTCCGTGTCTTTAATAAAATCATGACTTTATGTCATGTTAATAGTAAAATCTTGGAATTTACAGGCATAACTGATACTGCAGATTTCCAGTGATTTTATTTCCAGTGATTTATTTAGTGATTTCCAGTGGGCTTTAAGTCCGTTAAAACAAACAGTAGAAATAAAAATCTCATTCCAGATTGTACCGTTTATCTTTAATGTTTTACTCATCTGACAACCTTAAAATGGGAGGAAAAGTAAAATAAACCTGCCCACTGGGCCATTTTCTGTCAATACAGTGCCAATTTGTATTTGTTAGCAGCTTAATTGCACACTTTGTTTAGAAACACCTCTTCATCACTTTAAGCATTTATGATTTAACTTTGAATCCTCAGAATTGTGGCTAATGCAGCTAAGCTGCTAAGTCATAGAAGATGGCAGGGTCAACCCTTTCACTGGATGGCGCCAATTGCAGAATATGGACAATGTAGGGTCAGAAAAAATATATATGTTCAGCTAGGAGTAGACATTATAAATGTGAGATGATTAACCTGTGCCATGTCAGAAGGTGTGAAAAGTTCTTGTCTCAAAGACCCTGAACTGAGCTGCTCCGGGCCAGAATAGAACCTTCCATTTCCTGTTCACTCGCGGACAGAAGAGGCGCCGGAATGTCTGTGTACTTAAAGTGAGTGTATGTTAAGCGGGGTATGCCTGTAGATAGTTTACATCTGACCCCATGGATAGAAGACAAATAACTTGTATAATGGAGCCACACATGGTCATAACAATATACTGGGCACAGCGCTCTTATGGTTCAAGCAGCAACAAGCTTCCAGATAAATATATTTGTGACGGAACGTTGGCACTCCGACTGAGTACCTCCACCAATCGATGCTCCTAGCGCTTGCCGAGGACTCCAAGCACTCCAACCGACACCATCAGCACTGCAGACCCCACTTCCAGCGATGCAACTGCGCTGGGGTCTCTGCTGTCTCCACCCACCCTGGACCCAAGGCCAGGATCCAGCTTCCAGTGGGTGAACCTCTCTTTCCCCAGAGAGCAGGAACAGGAACAAGCTCTTAGCAGAACTTAGTGATCATACCTTGGGGAGTATAGTGATTATAGCAATCCCCAGAGTGTATTTCTCCAATCCCCCAAACATGAGCCAAGGCTTAATGCTGGAACAAGACTTATTTACTGGCACACAGAACTCACAATTTATGCAACACAAAACTCCTCCTCTGGGCCAGGCTAGATAATTGAGTTTCTACAATACACAAAGCTCAATTATCTGCTGGCCAGAAATAATACAGTTTCATAAAACACACAGGGACCCCAAAACATGCAATAACCCCATAAAAAGTATATCATTGGAACCGGGGGATCTGGGTTAACCACATATCCAAAATTAACCCAGATCCGTTCAGTACTTTGGAAAATACAGTTTAATGCAGATTCTGCAGAACATATACAGGCTAAATGAAAAACAATCACTTTATAATGTGTCCCCTGCTGTATAGTCCAAAACCACTGCACAATGTCTCTGTGCACCAAATACTGGCAAGATGGCACCGTGTTGAAAAGTCCAAACAGTGTCTGTGAGTTAAAATGGCCTGCCATCCATTGTTCTCACCATGTGCTTCTGATACAGGAAATGGTGGCCACCCAGTAACTCCACAGTATGTCCCCAGATGGTTCTTAAAGGGCCAGCAGCAGCACAACACAAATCCATTATGCCCAAATCATGTCTTTAAAGGGCAATACATCCCAGGGGCCATAGTCACAGGGCAAGAGGCGGGCAAGCAGTCCTCTCCAGGCACAAGTGGCGAAGGGCACTTCGTCACAATTTTAATGGATAGTTTATTAGCCACCTGACCCCTGGGATAGATACATAACCTGTACAATGGGACCACACATGGTCATAATACTATACTATACAGGAAACAGCCGGCATACCCCTTTGAAGACATGACCCTGTCATTTTACCCTCTCAAGCGGGACATTAACGTGGCGAAGATCCCTACAACAATTCACTGCAGTGCTACGCGCTAACCACATCAGGTACTGCTGGGGCCCGACCCATGTTTTACACATCAAGAAGGGAGACACCGCACATACTGTAAGCAACATGCAGAAAGCCATGAGGGCCCTGGGCGCACTGGGTCTCCCCCTGAATGCCCTACCACCAGCAAGGCCACCGGCGGGATCCACACGCCCCCTCGGGCGTTAAGCATACCAGTGCACCGGAGTTTGTGCCGAGAGAGGGGGAGCATTGGATTGGAATATCAGCTAGAGAGCCGGAGGACGTTGCAGGAGGAGGCACAGGCGACAGCACCAAGGGAGTGTCTCTGCTCGTGTAAAGGTAAGTAAATAGCTAATCAGGCACTGGAACACTATAGCACTATAGCATTAGTAATACAGGTTTGTATTCCTAACACTATAGTGCTCCCTTAACTAAAAAAAAGTAAGTCTGCAAACATCTGGGGTGTCATGGTTGGCCCTACACGCTACCCACTACACACTTTAACACCATTATGTGGCAATACTACTTCCCGATGCTCTATCCTGAAACAAACTCCACATGTTTCATCCACTGCAAATTTACAAAGAAGGCGGGCCTGAGCCTGTACAACTGATCTTATCTGAAACCTCTCCTTTATACTTCAAAGCAGCAATAGAAGCCCTGGTAAAACAAATAACTGCCAGGCTTCCTGTGCAGCCTCCCAGTTACTGAGGAGAATATGTGCATTGGTCATTTTTGGTTATGGCACTTATAAGAAATACATACTTCAGGACTGACCTGAATGCAATGCAGGCCTGTAAGGGTTTTATTTTTTTATCAAAAAAGTTTATGCTAAAAATTGCTTTCATCCATTTAATAAAACAATTCAATGCAATATAAAACATCATGGGTATTAGAAGAAAGCAGGGAAAGACTAACATTGGAGAAATAATCCCAATATGGAACATTCAAAAAGAGAAGATGTGGGCAATGGAAATAGAAAGGGGAAATGAAAAATGAGTATACACCTCCCTGTGGCTATTTTTAAATGCGACATAGGCAGTCTTTAATCCTGAATAGACAATTTTATCTGAAATAATATGAGAGGGGACAGCCAGAAAGCTCTTATATAAACCCAAACAGGTGGGGAGATTGGGCTTAACAAATTTGTATCACTATGCAGCACAACTTGCACAAACCTGTTGTGTGAGGAGATTGGTGTATCAGAAGTCGTCCCTAATGGATATGATCTTTTTTTATTTGGCTTGGCACAAAAACAGGGGGGGGGGGAAAGCTGAAAACGTACTGTCCTGCCATTATTAATTGTCAATAACGGATTGAACTTGTATTATATTTTCCTTATCCCCTACTCCTTGTGCTGTGGCATTGATGGCGAACCAATTTTTGAGCCATCACAAATGCCTCTCATGCCCCAATGAGCAACAGATCTGGTCCAGATTTGAGACTTATAGACAAGACATCCAGCTGTGTGGGAAGTGTACGGCAGCGTAGTTTCAGTGCTTCCTGGCCCAGCCTCACCAATGAAGTTCCGGCATATAATTCAAGGATTTTACAATTATCATGACGGAAAGTCATGATTTTATTAAAGACACAGAGGCAAGTATTATGCTGCACTCTTTCTTTAATACCCTCAGCAGCAAAGAATACATTATTTGAAGAAAAATAAACATTTGAACCAGGTATAACATCATAGTGACAATGTCTGCCTAGTAACATGACCATCCAATCAGTGACATCCTTCTCCTATTGTAGGCGGAGCATCGATGACCATTTCCTCTTTCTTTCTTGCGTATCCCGAAGAATAAACTCAAAACTCGGAACAGGAAAACCGGATAAACCAAAGAGCCGTAACAAGGCATGTGACTCCGAGAGGTCTTTCAACCCAGTCATGCTAAAGGAGACAAGAAAATATGGTAATGTCTTGAACTCATGGGTTTTATCATACATAGAGGTCCACACGTTTGACTAAACAGTGACAATAAATCATAGATGTAGTAAGAGGAACTACTAATCTGAGGACAACAGTGACAATAAGTCTCAAATTAAATAATGCCCTAATGCCACGTAGGCATGTGATGGCCTCAGTATCGCCAAATTTGAACTTACCATGGAGAGGTCTGTAACTTACCTCGCCCCACATCCAAGCTGTCCAAGGGCGGGTGGGTGTTCTAATACTCGCCTCCGTGTCTTTAATAAAATCATGACTTTCCGTCATGATAATTGTAAAATCCTTGAATTTTATTAAAGACCGGGAGGCTCCTATTATGCTATTTTAAAGCTGTGATATACGGCTTCTGCAAAATGCTGGATTGGTTTAAAATAGAAATTACGGAAGGTAGATTCCGTGGACCAATCAGCCGCCTTCAATATATCCTCCAAACTACAACCAGCGAAGGAGGCTTTAGAGGCCATGGCACCGCGAACCGAATGGGGAGAGAAAATGGAGGTATCAATACCTGCCAAGGACATGAGCCATTTCACCCAGCAGGCCAAGGTAGGAGAGGAGACCGGAGCATGCGGTTTATGGAAGGAGATGAAGAGTTGGGGGTCCGACCCAGTCCGAAGGGGTGCGGTATGAGCTTTGTACGCCCGAAGGCATGCTACTGGGCAAAGGAGCGGCTTCGAGGGAAAAGCTGGATACAGGACCGCCCGGGAGGACGATTTTGTCCTCCGTGAGATGTCAAAGACGACTCCTTCTGGGGAGAAGGATCGGGCATTGACATCGAGTGCTCTAATGTCTGACACTCTCTTGCATGAGATTAGGCACAACAGCATAACTAGTTTAGCTGAGAGCTGTTTCAAGGATAAAGACTCGTTGTCTGGCCACCTAGTCAAGAAATTCAATACTAGGGCGACATCCCATAGGGAGGAATAGTGAGGTTGGGGTGGCCTTGCAAAGCGAATGCATCGGAGAAGACGACAAACAATTGGGTGTCGTTCTATCGGGGCCCCGTCAATGCCGATATGGCCAGCCGAGATGGCTGAGCGGTAGAGGTTTACTGTCCTGTAAGCCTTCCCGTTGTCATAAAGGGATGTTAAGAATTGTAGGACTGTTGTCACAGGAGTTGATAGGGGATCCACACCCCGTGCCACACACCAACCATCCCATGTGCGCCAAACACACTTGTAAGACTGTCTCGCGCCGGGTGCCCATGCACCCTCGAAGTCGGAGAGTCGATTGCGAAACTCCCTCGATCGACCAGGGTCCCCGGAAATCAGCCACGTTATGAGGCAGAGGAGCCCCTGAGGGATCAGGGGGTGGGGGTTCCCATCGGGGTCTCGTAGTAGAGATTGGGCATTCGGGAGGAGCCGTGGGCGATCTATAGCCACCTCCAGTAGAGGAGGGAACCAGGGCTGCGACGGCCATAAGGGGTTAAACCAAGCAGCCCAATTGGCGCCGTAGGTGGAGGAAGCACCGAGTGATGAGGGTGAAAGGAGGGAATGCATAGTTCCTGGTGGTTGACCAGTCTTGGGAGAATGCATTCGGAGCCGAAGCCGTAGGGTCTGGCCTCCAACTGAAGAAGGTCGGAAGTTGGGTGTTCAAACGCGAGGCAAACAAGTCTATTGCCAGAGGACCCCACAGATCCCAAATGCGCTGGAAGATTTGGGGATCGAGGTGCCAGTCGCTGGAATCCCGCAGGTGGCGGGAGTACCAATCCGCCATAGTGTTGGACAACCCCGGCGAGTATTCTGCCCTGACGGCCATGTTGTGTTGCAGACAAAATTGCCAAAAGTCCGGCGCCAAATACGCTAGAATTTTGGATCTCGTGCCACCGAGGTGGTTGATATAACGGACA